TAGTCAAAGTAATCTTGAGAAAGAAGAATAGAGCAGGCAGACTCACTTCCCAATTTCAAAATTTACTACAAAGCAATAGAATCAAGATAGTGTAGTATTGATTGGCACAAGGATAGACATATAGATCAATGGAATAGAACTGAGTGTCCAGAAATAAACCCATATATCTATGGTCAGTTGATTTTTTGATAAGGGTACCATGACCATTTAAGAGAGAAGGGATAGTCTTCAATAAATGGTGCTGGGATGACTGTATACCCACATGCAAAAGAATGAAGTTAGACCCCTACTTCACACCAAATGAAAAATTAATTCAACATAAATCGAAGACCTATATGTAAAAGCTAAAACTACACAACTCTTAGAAGAAAACATGGGTAAATCTTAATGACCTTGGATTTGGCAAAGGATTCACAGACATGGCACCAAAAATAGGAACAACAACAACAAAAAAAGATGAACTGGACTTAACCGAAATTAAAAATATTTTTGCTTCAAAGGACATAATCAAGAAAAGAAAAAGTCAACCCACAGAATAGGAGACAATATTTGTGAACCATATATCTGTTAAGGGATTTGTATCTGAAATATATAAAGGAGTCTTTCAATTTGATAATAAAAGGACAAATAACCCATTAGAAATTGGGCAAGGAATTTGAATACTTATTTCTCCAAAGAAGATATACAAATGGTCAAAAATGCACATGGAAAGATACTTGAGATCCTTAGTTATCAGAGGGATGCAAATCAAAAACCACAAAGAAATATTTACTTCATACTCACTAGGATGGCTAGGATCAGAAAGTCAGATAACAAGAGTTGGCAAGGATATCAAGAAATCAGAACCTTCGTACAACGCTGATGGGAATGTAAAATGGTCCTACCATTTTGGAACTTTGGAAAACAGTCTGGTAGTTCCTCAGAAGTTTAAACATAGAGTTCCCACATGACCCAGCAATTCCACTTCTAGATATGTATATCCAAGAGAAACTGATATATTCATAATAGCTAAAAAGTGGAAACAATCCAAATGTCTATCAGTGGACAAATGGCTAAATAAAATGTAGTATATCCATACAACAGAACATTATTCAACCACAAAAAGGAGTGAAGTACTGATACATGTAACAACGTGGATGAATCTTGAAACCATTATGCTAAATGAAAGAAGCCAATCATAAAATACCACACGCTATGTGATTCTACTCACTTGAAAGTCCGGAATAGGGAAATCTATAGAAACATGACATATATTAATGGTTGCCTAAAGCTGGAAGGGAGACGAGGGTTAAGGGATCATAGTTAAAGGATACAGAGTTTCTTATTGAGGTATAAAAAAGTTCTAAAATTAACTCATATCTGTGGATACACTAAAAACTGCTGAATTGTACACTTTAAAAGCTATTTTAAAAGGTAGTTATTGGGGGTTGTGTAGTTCAGCTGTAGAGAACGTGCTTAGCATGCACAGAGTCCTGAATTCAATCCCCAGTATCTCCACTAAAAAGAAGAAGATAATTATTGCATACTGTGTGTCACTTTATTCCAATTTTAAATTTTGAAAAATTTGAAAATTAATATAAAATGGAAAAATTCTTTAAAAACTTACATTTTACCAAGAGAAATAAAAATTGAAAATTAAAATCTATTAAGTCAATTAATGTAATTTTAAATCTTCCTTTAAAGATAATTCCAGGCCCAGATGGTTTCACTAGTGATATATACCAAACATATATGAACAAAAATAGAACAAGAAAAGTGGGTGTACTCCAAAACTCATTTTTTCAGGCTGAAATTATCTTGATAACAAAGTCTGACTACAACAGTATGAGAAAAAAAAATTACAAGTCATTCTTGCAAACACAGATGGAAAAATCCTCAATAAAATATTAACAAAATTCAATGACAAGAAAAAGACGATACATCATGAGGAATCTTGAATTTGTACCAAGAAATTAAGACTGGTTTAACATTCAAAACTCCATCAGTGTAATTCATCACATTAACAGCTTAAAGGAAAAAAATCATGTGATCATCTCAATACAGATAGAAGTATCTGGTAAGATTAAAAATCCATTCATGATTAAAAAGATTCTTATGAAGCTATGAATCACAAGGAATTTCCTTAATCTGATTTAGTATCTGTAAAATCCTACAGCAATGATTAATCATATTTAATGATAAAGCATTTCTAAGAAAGATCCACTTCTGTCCAACACTTAGAAGTTTTAGCCAGTTCAGTTGATAAGAAAAGGAAATGACACAATTTTCTACATACAAAATTAAGAATCACCTATTAATAATTATCAAATGAATAAGAGTTTAGCAAGGTTACTGGATATCAAATTAAAAAACCCCAAAGCAATTGTATATTTGTATACCAGCAACACACATTTCAAAAATTATGTATTTTTAATGATGCCATTTATAATAGCACTAAAGTATGTTAAGTACTTGTGGATAAATATAACAAAGATGCACACAACTATATTTTAAAAACTATAAAATTAAAAAAAATATAAAATTTTACTGGGAGACATTAAAGAAGATCCAAACAAATGGAGAGATAGAATATGTTTATGTATAGAAAGACTCAATATTATAAGCATATCAGTGATACCCAAATTTTGACTTACAGATTCTTTGAAATTTCAGTCAAAATCACAGAAGTTTTTCTTTGTTTTTGTTATATTCAGATGGAATAAAAATGTATTGGCTTCCTTCTTCATACTATACAAAAAATTCAATTCCAGGTATATTATAGATCCAAACATGAAAAGCAACAGATAGAAAAATATCTTCATAATTTCAGGACTGGGAATGGTTTCTTGAATGAGGCATCCAAAGCATAAACCATAAAGGAAAACATGATAAATTTGGCTATGTTAAATGAAGAACTTCTGTTCATTAAAAGATACCACAAGGAAAATGAAGCCAGAGTGAAAGAAGACATTTGCAGCATATAAAACTGAAAGGATTCATATATGGAATATTTAATGACCTCTATTATCAATTAAAAAAGAGACAAAGCTCAATAAAACATAGTGTGCATAAGACTTGTATTTTTCCTCCAAAATAGGAAGTTAAGATGGGAATAGGCATATGAAAAAAAGTTCAACTTTATAAAAATTAAAGTCAAAATGAGATACCCATATGCCTATACCCATAGTGTCTTAAATTTATAAATCTAACAGTGCTGGTTGTTGATGAGAGTGTAGAGTAACAGCAGCTGTCACAATGCTGATAATCATTGACATTTTTACAACCAACTCGGAAACAGTTTGGTGTTGTCTAATCATGTTGACTGATCAATTCCACATCTACATGTCGCCTACAGAAATGCATTCTCATGTGTAACAGTACCCTTTTACATCAGTGTTTATTGAAACAGTTTTCATCATGGCCAAAAACTGGAAATAACTCAATGTCTATTAAAAGTAAAATGGGTAAATAAAATATGATATACAGTAATCCAGCAGAGCACTTTACAATCACCAATAAAATGAATGAACTATTATACATACAACAACATGGAAAAATATAAAAACATATTGCTGAACAAAAGATGTCAGATATGTCAGTCATAATATATGACTATGTAAATTTTAAAAACAGGCAAAACTAAATTGTATTGACAAACATGGCAAATACTAAGCGCTAACCAAAATCCGAAGCAACCACAACTGTCATACATTGTTGGTGGGAAACACTTGGGGAAACTTTTTGGCAGTATCTATTAAATGTGAACATATAAATGATCCATTATCCAGGAATTCCACTTAGATATGCACCCAACATAAATTCATAGAGTACAGTCAGCAAAATACATATACATCCGTATTCATACTGTCACCATTTGTTCTAGCCAAACAATTGGAATTACAGAAACATCCATGAGCAATAAAATACGTAAATAAAATTGTGATATAGTCACACGGTGGAATAGTGTACAATAATGAAAATTAAACATCTGCAACTATGCTTAACAATATGAAAGGATCTCACAAATACAATGTCGAACAAAAGAAGCCAGATACCAGAGTACACGCTTCATGATCTAGCTAAATAAAGTTCAAAACAGGCAAAACTAATCCATGGAGTCAGGATACTCATTAGCTTTGATGGGAGATAGTGACTCTCATGTAAGGAACTTCTGAGAGGCTGGTAATTTTCTCTTTCTAAATCTGATTGCTAGGTACCTGGGTGTCTTCCGTTTGTGAAAATTCATTAAGCTGTACATTTGTATGTGCACATCTCAGTATATACATATATTTTTACTTCAGTACAAGTTATAGAGAGTAAATGCTATTCTTTAGGAATGCAAACTAATAAAACTATTAAAAAAAATAAAAGGAGAAAGAAAATGATTACCAAAATCAAGTTAATGCTGTTCATTGGAGAGGAGGGTGAGGCTGTAACCCAGAAGAGGCAAGAGTGAGGGGAGCTCTTTGTAATCCAGAAAGGGCAAAGTCTGGAGGTTTATCAGTGTTCCAGTTTTCACTTTAGTTGTGATTATGAGAACATTTGCTTTATATTATTTAACCATATGTTTATATTCTAATTTCATTTCTATATGTATTAAATTTCATAATTTAAAAGATTAAAAGTTAGCCAAAAACAAATAAGCCAAGATGTGTAATGACTTGAGTAATGTTTATTAATAAAATGTTAAATGGAAAATAGTGGGTTTTTTACAGTTTATACATAAGAAATAAATATACTAAAATATTAGCAATCTAAATAAATTATTTTTCTACCTTTTTGAATTTTCTCAAAATTAATATGTATTACTTGTGTGGAGGTAAAACATGAATAAGACTTTTTAAAAAATGTAACACTCAATGAAGAAACTTTTTAAGCATGAAATCTTATATCATTCAGTTTTTCATGTTTAGCCTATCTTACAAACATTATTTTTGTCTATTACATTCATTTCTGTTTTCTAGGACCCATTATTCAGAAACCCATCTTTTTTACTTATTTTAAGTAACCATTTTCTACAGGTGATTGATGCACATGGAGTTGATGTCACTCCCAGACCTCTTTACCATCCGGATCCACATACTGGTGCAGCAAAGCCAAATAAACTGTTGACATCACAGGAAGGATCCTATACATCAGACTTTATAGCTTCCTATAGCCTGTATCAGAATACAATAAATCCAAGTATGTTAGGGCAGTTTACAAGGTAGAGTATAATATTCTAGAGTTCTTTTTTGTATGTTATGTATTTTCTTTTCATTTAAGTTGCATGTGTGTAACTTAGGTGTCTGTTGTCTCCAGTCCCCCAGCCCCACTCTCATCTTAGTGTGCCATTCTGTGTTCCTCTCATGTTTTAAATAGATGCAGAACTTTGCATATCTTAAGAGTTCCCCTGTGTTACACCAAAACATTTGTGAAAAAATATATTGGTTTTACTCAAGATTTCCTAAAGAACCAAAAGATGGTGCCTAGCATTACAGACATATTTCTTCGGTTTTCTTCAGTTTCTTTTATGCTGCATGTTAGGGGAAGGAGTGGCTTTTCTTTTTTACCCCTATTCTTCCATACAAATCTTTGTTCTCCTAAGGTTTGATTTCTCTCTTGTGATATAACTTTTTTGTAAATAACATATTCTGCATTTATTATGTAGATACTTATATGATGAAAACGTGCAGTGCTTACCATAGAAAAGCTCAGTCATTTCAATAATAAAACAGTGTTCCTAAAACAATCTAAAGATTATGGGAAAATATTTGAGTGTGTAATTTTCAGTCTGACAAATTTAAAGTTCCAGGTGTTAACTAAGCATGAAATTTTAGGAGAAAATATGCTGGTCTAGAGTCTGCCTCCAAATTTGCATACAGAAGTTGGGGGAGTTATCTGAAAAACAAAGCATATGCCAGTAAAGTGAACCCCACCTTTTGGAGGACGGTTGGAACCATAAATAGAAAGGGGAAAAAATGTATAATATCATGAAGTAATGTATGTTTAAGGAAGTTATTTTTTGAGTCTTCAGTGTATTGATTTCCCATCAAGTATATAGATTTTATTTTAATTAAGTCTTGAGAGGACCTTTATCAAACTGAATAAATTGCATTTAAAATGAGATGTGAATAATGAGCAGAAACCTGGCGAAAAATGAAAGGAAGAGTGTTCCAGGCTGAGGCCCTGAGATAACAGAGCTCCACAGGACTGAGGAACTTGGGGGAAAAAAAAAAAGAGGAAAGGGAATAGTGATAATGAAGTTAAGATGGAGAGTCTGGATAGGTAGGCTGTATTTTGGATTTTTATCCTAGCATACTGCTGGAAATCCACTGAAGGACTGTAGGCATAGGTTTGACATGTCTTATCTCTAAAATATATTTTAAATGACTTTTAACTCAAGGAACATTAAAAATCAACTTAATATTTTAAAAATAACTTATTTTTATCAATTTTGCTCATATGATTACAGTATATTTGATTTCTCAATCTGATAGTTTTTCATTTAAACATTTAATTTCCCATGAGGACATCTAAATAAATAAATAATGTTATTCATTTTTAAAGGTCAGTTTTAGGAAGCAGTACAGTCTCTAAGTCAAGTGTATCCACTACTGAATCAATGGCAGAAGACCTAGAAGAACCATCCTATAAACGGGAAAGATTGTACAGTTTTACAGGTAATGAAAGTACAATCATTTAAGTAACTTCATTATTTCTTTAGCAAATATGTTCATTATTTTGGGGGTACTTGAGATAGAAAAATTATGATAATCTTTCCCAAATGCTGGCCTGTGAAGTAGCTATGTGAGAATTACCAGGGTAATATTTATTATATATTTAAAAAATTCTCAAAGTGACTCCTTTGCAACACCAGCCTCAAGAATTGCAGGCCCGATTTTAAAAGAGCTCAGCTTCTAACTCAGGAGACAGACAATTCTGATACACTGTAGTCAATGCCATAATAAGACATATGCAGAACGTGATGGGGGCACTTAAAAAGAAAAGATTAACTACTTTGAGGTTGGAAAAAAAAAGACTGTTCATGGAAATATCGTTGACTTTTAAATTGGTTTTTGAAGATGATTAGTGATTTGTCAGGAGAACAAATAGGAGAGGCCCGTTCTAGGCAGAGGATAAAGCATGAGGTAATGCAAAGGATTATACAAGTGAAGATAAAGGAATGAGGACGTAATGGTTGATCAGAAGTGCTGGGAGAAGTGAGTACTTAACTTCAGGGTAATTTGCGTTGGAGTGCAGTAAGGTTGTCTTTTCCTCTAAGATGATAATGGAGGGTTAGTGAAATTATTGACAAGGTTAGAAACGTGCTTGGTGAACTTTTCTTTTTGATGTTAGCATATGTGACAGAATGCCTCTGACAAGTAACAGAATACCCAACTGCTATTAGCTTAAACAAATAGAGACTTATTTTTCCCACATTAAAAGAAGTTAAAGCTAGATAGCTTTTGGCTTTGCTTTTGTGGCTTAATTGTGTCAAAGTCTGGATTGGCAGCTCTGCTGTTCTCTTCTTAAGCCTTTTCTTCCCATTTTTTGCCTCATGGTCTCAAAATACCTGCCCTGGCTCTGGATATTACATCCACATTAAAGGCAGAAACATGAAGAAAGATCTTCCTTGTAGCACCAGTCACATCTCCCTCATTTGGGAGGAAAATAACGGTTTTCCCAGAAGCCTCTTTCCTGTGTATTTCTGCTTTTATCTCACTGGCCAGACTGTGTCACATCGCCACCATTAGCTTCCAGAGAGGCTAGGAAAGCCAAAGACTGATTTCCCAGCCTCTATTAACAGAAAGAAGCAAGGGAAGGAAAAAAGGCTTAAAACAGGCAATTAGTAATGTCTGTTCTAGGAAGAAGCCCATCCTCTCAGAGGGGGACAAAGGGAATTGAATTATTGTCCTAACCTCCTCCAGTGGTCTCTATGTATATTCTTGCCATCCTCCAGTTTGGTTTTCCAGGCTGTATCCAGAATGATCTTTTTAAGAACACAATCTAATCACATTCTCCCTGCTTAAAACACCTTGAAATGGATTTGCATTGCTCTTAAGATAAAGACAAATAATCTTTATGTAATGATTTGCTTTTGAGGTCTTTCTCTACTGGTCTATATCAAAAACAAACAAACAAACAAACAAACAAAATTTCATCTTCAGAAGTCTTGAAGAATAGTATAGATGTTTCTGTCATCTTGGCCAGGTGCAGGTGAATTCTAACTACAAAGTCATTCTCTGAAATGAATCCCACCTAAACAGTTCTACTTCTACCACCTGGCCACTCTTTCAGACTCGAGCAATATTTCTCAATCTTGAATGCACACTGATATCGTCTAGTATATCTCTTAAAATTTCCCACACTCAAATCTTACTCCAGGCCAATTGTATTGAAGTCTCTGGCAGTAGGGTTTAGGCATAAATAGTGGTGTGCTGGCACGTGTAAAACTACTCAGAGGTAGGGGAAGTCCTGATGTGTAATATTTACCAATTTCCATGGTTTAAGTACTTTTACTCACTCAACACCACCAGCAGATTTTAAGCTACCAACATGAAATTTCTGAATGGGAAGTTTAGAAGAAATGCTTAGTAGAACATCATTATTTGGTGTTTTTACCGTAAGATATAAATAACTGCAAGAGCTTAGGTAATAGTAAAATTTAATAATGTAGGAAGTGGTAAGTGGTTATTATCTTTGTTTTTAATATTTATTTAATTGTAAGTTTATATAATATAATTTTGAACAATGATTATATTTAACAATTAGCTCACAAAGTTCCTGATAATTTAATAACGGCCCCTTGCAAGCTGGTGCAGGCCAGCTGTAATGCACTTCTGAATATAAATATATTTAAAATTTTCCCACATGATTCTAATGTGTAACAGTTTCTGATTTAGTATTAAAAATATTGATGTCTAGATCACATGTCTAGAATTCTGATTCAGTTATTTTGGAATGAAGCCTGAACATCAAGATTTTTAAAAGCTTCCCACGTGATAAGAAATGTACAGTAGGTTTTTTAAACTGGTGAAACTATTCCATACGATATTGTAGTGGTGGACACATAACGTTATGCTTTTATCAAAATCTATAGAAGCTTACAGCACAAAAAGTAAACCTTAATATACTACATTTTTTAAAAAGCACAGTTAAGAGATCAGAGGACCCTTGAATGGAATACAGACTGTGACATAAGAATCTAACTGCTTTACAAATGTATGACATAACCTCCCTGAGAGAGTGGGGGTGGGAGAGGAGGTATAGACCTAAAAAAATGTTGAAACTGAGACTGTAAAATTAAAAACATGAAACTGCACATAACCACTATATTCTAGTTGATTTTCAATGGAAGTATTCAATTTCAGTTTTCATTGGGAGTGTAGGTTAACAACTCTGAATCACTGTACATGTATACTAGGATTTTACATGTAAATAAATGGAAGGCAGATGGTAAGAATCAGATTTCTCACTGTCATTGGAGTGGGAGACTGCAGACAGACGAGGGAGGAAGGTTAGAACTATCTGTGTGGTATTGGATGAGAATCAGAAACATTAATATAAACTCATGTTTAGCTTAATATAGGTACAGATTAATATATATATATTGATATAGATATATACGTGTATATGGGTTACTATAGACACAAGTATTTCTTAGCTCTGTCTGCTAAGAAAGCCTAGAAAAATGACATCCCAGTAGAAACAAGCATATACAGTGCCCAAATCTTGGTTTCTAATACCATTCTCCAATAAAAGGAACCAGGGATCTTTGGAGAAAGGACTGATTCTAGACTGGAGCAGAGAATATATAAGGTGAATCAGAAAGTAAACAAGTACCAAGAAAAAAACCTCTACATTGAACAAACTAAAAATGGCAGGGGTATGGGAAAGGGACACCTCAGCCAATAGAAGGAGGTTGCAATGGTCAAAGCAGGAACAATTTCAACAACAAAATACATAGTTTAATATTGGATTATAACCTAAAGTAAATATTCATGATTCCATAATGATATGAATAAATGATTGAATAAATAAATTAATAGGGGAGTACAGACAAATCTTCTATACAAAAGAATTCCAAATAATTTATGTAGGTATTTCTCCCTCAAGAAGTTGGAACTTAACTCCCTATCTGTTTAGGTGTGGGCTTTTGCTTGTTGACTTCCTTCTAAAGAGTACTGGATGTAGAGAGGGAGGTGAAGAGTAACTTCAGAGCAGGGAAACCTGGCAAACTCTAGCTCAAGGTCAAGGTGAACATCATCAGTAGTAAGTCACGTTGATAGCATGTACCCTTGATATGATATGGTGAGAATGACACTACCTCTGTAGTCTTCCTTCCAGAAATCCTTGACCCCTGTCTAACATCAGACAAACCCAGCTGAAGGACGTCCTACAAAATACATGACCAGTACTCCTCAAAACTCAAGGTCATCAAAACAAGGGAAGTCTGAGAAATTGTCCAAGTCTAGGGAAGCCTAATGTGACATGATGACTTAATGCGGTATATACTGCATGAAATCCTGGAAAAGAAAAAAGATGTTAGTTAAAAACTAAGGAAATTGGGATAAAAGTACTGACTTTTGATAATAATGAAGCATCAATATTGATTTATTTGTTGGGATAAATGTACCATGGTAATGTTAGCAAAAGGAAAAACTGGGTAGGGTATGCAGGAACTCTTTGTAAGATTCTTGCATATTTTCTGTATATGTAAAGCTGTTCTATAATTAAAATTTATTAAATATAAAAAAATGTCTAGGGGTGAATCCCAGCTCTCCAGGTAATTCTGTTGCATGCTAAAGTTTGAGAATCATTGCTGACCTATATACCTTGCCATGGCTCTTTATCTCCCACACCCTGAAACTCCATCCTCAGTGAAATTTGTCCTAAGGACAAGTAAAAGAACAAAAAGTTGTTATAGATATAGACTAGAAATTAACTTCAGGGCCCAGAGAAGGATTGCATTCTATCCACAAAATACACTTGCCCTTATTCCTCTTGAGTGTTATCAACAGTCACTCACCCCAGTCTCCCTGTTAATATTATGGGATAGATGTAATGGGATGCCCTTGGAGTTATGACTACACATTTGAGATTGGGGTAGGCTTGACCTTTCAGTAACAGATACTGTTTCTGGCCCATAGGATCCAGTTTGACTTCAGAGGGATTAAATAGACTGCATCTCGAAAGATGGCCTATTCCTTGACCATATAAGGCCACCTGCAATGGATGACTCATCATGATATTTTGGCAAAATGAAAATTAAAAATAGCAATTAGTAAATGATTTTTACTAAGTCATGTATTTTAGATTTACGAGTTATGAGGTCAACACCTGGAAAAACTGTAACAAAAGAAGACCTGGAGAAGACGATAGAGATAATGCTCACAGAGACAGAAACAATGAGATTTTTTAACCTACCAACAGTCATGGTTTCTGTAGAATCTGAAGAAGCTGAGAAACTAAGGTATGTATGGCTCAATTGTTTATATTGCTTTTACAACTTGAATGCTGAGTCAGAGGTTCTTATCCTTGTTTTGTCTTCGGGGATTTCTGGAAAAACACTGGTGGTGTATGTGCCTGGTGAAATTATATGTAAAGTTATACACGTGCCCCGTGAAATTACAGGTAAGGTGTTTATGCTGTATGCTCTTTCTAGAGGAGAAACCCATACCTTTTCCATATTCGTTTAAAAAGTAGGTGAGTGACTATGTCAAATAACCAGAGAATGAAAGGAAGCTTCCAAGTCTCAAAATAGGTTTTAATGAATCTTTTCCTTTATGCATACATAAATTATTTTCAATTTAAAAAGAAATGACTGCTATTTTTATATTCAAAACTTAAGAAGGGAAAATATATTATGGGGAAATAACTGAATTTACTATATTAGAGTAGATTTTGTTTTTCTTTATTGATGAATATAAAAAGATTTTAGTTTTTGCCTCATGTATTTTGAAACCCTGTTCTTAGGCACATACACATTAAGAGTTGTTTATCGTTATGTAAGGCCCCTCTTTATCTCTGATAATTTTCCTTGCTCTGAAGTCCACTCTGTCTGAAATTAATATGGCTATATAAATAGATTATTATGTTAGTTATTAAGATTATCTTCAAGTATAATTTGATTCATAGTACAAAAAATTCATCACTAAAATAATTTTATGGTATTATTTTTAACCCAAATATAAAATATTATAAAATTGTTTGGACTATAAAATGTAGTACAATTAGATCTTGATAAGCATACTTTTTAAAGTTCATGAGATGTAAAGGAAAGCTCCTAGAACCAAAAAAAAAAAAAAAAGGAAAGGAAATGAATAACCAAGGGATGAATAAGTGATCTGAAATCAGAGAGGGAGAGATGCTGGATGCAAATGTTAATATTAGCACATGGATCTAAGACCCAGCAAGTCTTGGGTTCCCCACGAATTGAGAGAATTAACACAGAGATTCTTGTATTAAGCCAAGACCCTTGAAAGGATCCCAGTTATCTCAAGTGGTCGCTGGTCAATTGGGTGTCCTACCTACTATCATAACCTTCTCTGGAGGAAAGCATATCCCATTTAGACTCTTAAGATTCGCTCAGCTTGACTTTAGTAAAATTACACCAAAGCAATAAAGAAACAAGTCATTATGAATGAGAACTTTAAAAAAGTCCTAGATCTAGATCCTGAGGAATATGGATAATGATATTATCAAGTATAGGGTATAAAATGTATGTGAGGTCTTTAAATAAAAGATAAGAGTTAAAATATCGGTAACACTAAGAAACTATCAAAATGATGACTTGTAACTGAAAAAATATCTAAAAAGAACTTTAAAATAAAGTATGTTACATAATTGTTACAGTTAAAAAGTAAACATTGATTTAATCTTTGATATTAAAAAAGCATTTAAAATTTAAACAAGACATAATTGAATAGATATTTAATAAATTGGAACATAGATCTAGGTAAATTATACAAAATGAAGCTTAGAGAGAAAAATGGGATATAAAGTATCAAAGAGAAGTTTAAAACATACTGATAATAAAATAAGGGTCTAACATACATCAATTCCAAAAAGGCAAAACAGAAAGAATGGGAAAGAAGACTATTCAGAGAGAGTCAGTAAGGATTTCCTCTAACTACTGAAAAATACCGTTCCACAGATATAGGAATAAATAAAAAGAAATTCACACACACACAAATGGACTCAGTGCATTGTAACTCATACTCCAGAATACCAAATATTAAAAGATTTAAAAAAAAAGAAGAAGAAAAAACATATCTTCTACAGAGAAACAAACTGATAGCATTACTATGGATGTAGAAGGTCACTTCATAATGATAGGAAGGTATGATAATTCTAAACTTGAATATTCCTAATAAAATAACTGCTTAATAAATGAAGCAAAAATTGGGAACCTGATAGTTATTAAAGTAGGAGATTTAAACACGCCTCTCTTTGTAACTGATGGATCAATCAGATTAAAAAAATTAGTATAGTTGCAGAAAATTTGAACTCAAAACATAATTGAATGGCCATGTATAGAACCTGGAATTCAACAATGAGAACACACTCTTTTCAAGCACACATGGAACATTTATAAAAATCATCCATGTACAAGGCCATGAAGCAAGGTTTTGAAAATTTCAGAGAAGTGGTATCAGATAAACTAAATTCTCTGAGCACAGTGGAAAGAAAAATTAGTAACGTAAATTTCAACTGAAACATAGACACACAATCACATAATGCTTTCAGAAGTTAAGAAGCAGAGTTATTTAATTCTTCATGAACCAAAGAAGAAATACTCAGAACTAAACAATTATGAAAATGATACATACTATAAGATGTACTTTGAGGGAAATTTATAGCTTTAAATGTCTTCATCAAAGTTCATAAGACCTATGTGAAGATAATGCTAATATATTGTGGGTGGGTACTGAAAGTTGCAGGGAAGCTATGGTGTAAAAGCGTCCTTTGGAGGTAGTTTAATGCATTCTTTTCCTAAGGAGTGTTTTGAACTTTTCACTTCACTTTTTGGTGCAATCCACATTAAAGAAGGCAATTTTAAGAAAAAGCATAGTACAAATAGATACATGTGGTAATAATTTTTATTAATGAGTAGAGTATACATTATTTTTTATAGCCGGAGAAACAAGAATTATGAGACCCTTTGTCGAAATAGATTAGGCAATGACTTGTATGTTGAAAGAATGATGCAGACTATTAATGGAGCACCAAAGAATAAAGAAGTTCAGTGTGACAGAATCATAAAGGAAGACAAAGGTAATTTCTATTTCATTCTGTTTGATAAGTTACCATATTTTAATATGCATTCTTTGAGTCTATCAATTAACAAATAAATGTTAAAATATATAAGGCAAAAATAGAAATAATTTGGCCAGATCACAAAAGTAGCTGGGTACTGTGATCTACAGCTTTCCGAGTTTGACAATTAAGTTAACAAGTAATAAATACAGATACAGAAGATTTGAATAACATAATTATCAATCTTAGTTTTCATACAAACTCTATCATAGAATTTTGTACTCTTCAAATCTTTATGAAACATTTATAAAAACTTATTGTTTACTGTAACAAAGAATATTGACCACAACTAATAAAATTTAAAATATACCAAGCACTATTTTAGACCTTTTATGTACCGGCATACCTGGGATATATTGCAAGTTTGGTTCAAACCACCCCAATAGAGTGAATATCACAATAAAGTGATTCACAAGAATTTTTGATTTCCTAGTGCATATAGAAGTTATGTTTACACTATGCTGTAGTCTATTAAGTGTTTTTATGTCTAAAAAATGTACAATGTATTTTTAATTGAAAATATTTTAGTGCTAAAAAATACTAACCATCATTAGAGCCTTCAGTGAATCATAATCTTTTTTTCAGTAGAGTAACTTGCCTTAGTGTTGATGGCTGCTGACTGGTCAGGTTGGTGGTTGCAGAAAGTGGGGTGGCTGTAGCAAATTCTTAAAATAAGACAACAATGAGGTTTGCTGCATTGATTGACTTTCCTTTCGTGAGTGACTTCTCTGTAATGTGTTTGATAGCATTTTACCCACAGTAGCACTTTCGTTTAAAATTAGAGCCAATTCTCTCAAACCCTGCCATTGCTTTAACAGCTAACTTTATATAATATTCTAAATCCTTTGACATCATTTCAACAATCCTCACAGCATCTTCACCATGGGTAAATTCATCACAAGAAACCACTTTCTCATGTGTAAGAAGCATCTCCTCATCCACTCAAGTTTTATCATGAAATTATAGCAATTCATTCACATCTTCTAATTCTAGTTCTCTTGCTGTTTTCACCACATCTGTAGTTACTTTCTCCACTGAAGTCTTCAGCCCCTCCAAGTCACCCATGAGGGTTGGAATCAACTTCTTCCAAACTCCTGTTAGTGTTGATATTTTTACTTCTTCCCACGAATCATGAATGCTCTTAATGGCAACTAGAATGGTGAGTCCTCTCCAGAAGGTTTCCAATTGACTTTGCCCAGATCCATCAGAGTAATCACTATCTATGGCAGCTATAGCCTTATGAAACATATCTTTTATATAAGACTTGAAAGTCAAAGTGATTCCTTGATCCATGGACTGCGGAATGGAGGTTGTGTTAGTGGGCATGAAAACAACATGAATCTCACTGTACGTTGTACATCAGTGCTCTTGGGTGACCAGGCACACTGTCAATGACCAGTCATATTTTGAAAAGAATCTTTTTTTCTGAGCAGTAGATCTCAACAGTGGGCTTAAAATATTCAGTGAACCATGAAGTCTGCACATGTCATCATCCAGGCTTTGTTGTTCCATTGATAGAGTTTAGGCAGAGTAGATTTAGCATAATTCTTAAGGGCTTTAAGATTTTCAGAATAGTAAATGAGCACTGACTTTGATTTAAAGCTGCATTAGCACCTAACAAGAAAGTCAGCCTATCCTTCAAAGCATTGAAGCCAGGCATTGACTTCTCTCTACCTACAAAAGTCCTAGGCATCATCTTCTTCCAATACAAGACTGTTTCATTTACACTGAAAAATCTGTTGTTTAGTGTAGCCCCTTCATTATCTTAGCTAGATCTTCTGGACAACTTGCTTTAGCTTCTACATCAGCAGTTGCTGCTTCATCTTGCACTTTTATGTTATAGAAACAGCGTCTTTCCTTAAATCTCATGAATCAACCTTCAAACATTTCTTCTGCAGCTTCCTTACTTCTTGCAGCCTTCACAGAATTGAGGAGAGTTAGTGTCTTGCTCTGGATTAGGTTTTGGCTTAAGGGAATGTTGTGACTGATTGGATCTTCCATCCAGACCACTACAACTTTCTCCATACAGCAGTAAGGCTGTTTTGCTTTCTTATCATTCACGTGTTCACTGAAGCAGCACTTTTAATTTCCTTCAGGAACTTTTCTTTTGCATTTGCAGTTTGGCTGTTTGGTGCAAGAAGCCTCGCCTTTGGCTTATCTCAGCTTTCAACATGCCTTCCTCACCAAGCTTGGATCATTTCTAGCTTTTAATTTAAAGTGAGAGATGTGCTGTTCTTTCTTTCTGTTGAACACTTAGAGATCACTATAAAGTTAGTAATTTGCCTAATTTCAATACTGTTGTGTCTCAGGGAATAGGAGGACCGAGGAGAGGGAGAGAGATGGGGGACCAGCCAGTCAGTGGAGCAGTGGAACACACATTTATCGAATAAGGTCTCTGTCTGACATGGGCATGGTTTGTGGTTCCCCCCGCTCCCACCTCAAATTACAATAGTAACATCAAAGATCACTGATTACACATCACCATAACAACTATAACAGTAATGAATAAGTTTAAATATTGTGATAGTTACCAAAATGTGACACAGACACAAGGTGAACAAACGCTGTTGGAAATGGTGCTGATAGAGCTGCTCAATTCAGGGTTGCCACAAACCTTTAATTTGGGGGAAAAAAAAACAACGAAACGCAGTATCTGCAAATTGCAATAAATGAGATATGCCTGTGTATTAGCTGATTTAATTCTCACCACAGCCCTATGAGGTAGTAGCTATTATTATTCCCATTATTCTATAAAGAAGAAGAAACAGGCAAAGGGAAGTGAGCTAACTTGCCCTAGGCCATTCCGTTACTGTGGTGGACGGTGATACTCCCGGACAGTCTGATTCTTGAGCCTGAGCTCTTAACCACTACATTTACTATTTTTCAATGTTTATAAATTAACAACCTTGAGAACACAGCATTGCCAAAAAATCTGTGAGCTGTGGCCAAAGGGGTAATTAGAAGAAAGGTTATAATCTTAACAGCCTTTATTACTCATCAAAACCATAAACTAGTTCTTTTAAAAGATTAAAATAGACACACTTCTAAGGAAGTGCTAAATCAAGAGAAGGGCAACTTATAATTAGTGGGAAATCTCTGTAGCATCTTTACTTGTTCTTGTACCACTCCCCTCCTCCGTACGGTGATGGTCTTAAAGATAGCAGTCTGCCATCTCAGTGTGAGACCCGGAGGGAACAGAACAGACTTTATTCTCGAAGAACTTGGTTTGTATGTTTTAACCTGTCTAGGGGCTACCTGGAGGACTGACTCAAGGCATTTGTCTTCTTTTTTTTTTTTTTTTTAACCTAACTCAGAACTCTCTCAGGCAATAGGAGTATTGCATTCTTCAAAAACATTGTAAAGCAAATGAATTGCTTCCTGAGGAGTCAAACGAGACACACACTGAAAGCCTGGGAGAAAAATCAGGGGAGAGAGTTTCTTCAGGAAATTAAGGTGTTGAAAAGATTTGCATATAGAAGGGAATTTAGAACATCATGTGTATGCCTAGCGCAGGATGCATGCTCAGAAATGACCTGAAAAGATCATAACTGTACACTTCTGACCAATCTCCAGATTCAGTACAAGCAGGAAGTGAAAGCTGTGGTATAGTTTTAAGCAGCCTATCCAAGCATTGAAGGAATTCCTACACATAGGGTCAACCTACAAAGACTGGAAGGCTTTTTTTTTCTTTTTTTCTTTTTCTTTCCTTCTCTTCCGTTCTTTTCTTTTCTTTTTTTCTGTTTTTGAGGGAAGAGAAATCTAGAGGTTCAGGGAAATCTCTGTCAGGATGCTAGCTAACCAAAAGCTAAAAATCAAACACTTCTGAGATGATACATGACAAAGAATACAGACTTTACAAAAATAGTTTAGAAAAATGACTTAGCAAACAAACAACTACCACTCACAGTGAACTATAACATCAAATCCTGAGAAAGAGTCTGATTTCCAGAATTACCACATTATTATATTCACAATGTTCAATTGTCAACAAAAATTACAAAGGCTCCAAAGGAACAAGAAAGTAAGGCTCATTCAAAGAAGAAATTAACAAAATCTCCCTGAGGAAGTACAGACATTAGATTTATTAGACAAAGATTTTAGACCAATTGTATTAAATATTTTCATAAGGCTAAAGGAAACTATGCACAAAGAATATTTGAAGAAACAATGGCCTGAATATTCCCAAATTTGATTAAACAAAACATGAATTCTATCCTTCAAATAATCCTCATGAAGGAGAAATTTAATTAAATAATTATAATTGAATATATCCTTGTCAAGGAGAAATTAAGATATTCATAGATAACTGAAAGCTAAGGGAATTCAGCACTAGTATAGTTGCCTTACAAGAAATGCTAACGGGAGTCCTTCAGGCAGAAATGAAAGGATGCTAGATAGAATTTGAAAACATATGAAGAAACAAAGAACACTAGTAAAAGTAACTACATAGGTAAATACAAAAACCAGTATTGTAATTCTGGTCTGTAACTCCTATTTTTCTGTGATATAATTTAAAATAAACACATAAAACAATAATTATAAATCTATGCTAATGGGCATACAAAATATAAAGATGTAATTTGTGACGATATCAACATAAAGGGGGTGGAATTTGGCTACCTTCTGTATGATTGAAGTAAGGTAGTGTTATTTCAAAATAGGTTGTTAAAATTTTAAGAAATTAATTTTATTCCCCAAGGCAAGCACCAAGAAATAACTTAGAAACTACAGAAAAGGAAATGAGAAAGAAAAATGATACACTATAAAAATATAAATTAAATATAAAAGAAGACAGTCGGGGATGATTTGAAGAACAAAGAAAATATGAGACATGAAGAAGGCAAATAGAAAAATGGCAGAAGTCCTTCCTGAACAGTAATTACTTTAAATAAATGGATTAACCATTCCAATTAAAAAGCAGAGGTTGACAGAATGGATTTTAGATAAAGGACAATAAAACTGGAACAAAAAAAACCATGACCCAACTATATGCTAACAAGAGACTCCACTACTTTTTTCCAGTTTATTGAGAAATAATTGACATACATCACTGTATAAATTTAAGGTGTATAGCATGATGGTTTGATTTACATATACTGTGAAATGATTGCCACAATAGGTTTAATTAACATCTATCATATCATATATAGAAAATAGAAAGTTGCAGAATATAAGATCAACACACAAAATTCAATTGTATTTCTATACACCATCTACAAACAATCCAAAAAGAAAATAATTGTGTTTAAAATAGCACCTAAAATAATAAAATTCTTAGGGATGAATTTAACCAAGGTAATGAAAAACTTGTACATTGATAACTGCAAAAAAAATTGCTAGAAAAAGATGAAAGAAGACCTGAGTAATTGGAAATACATCCTGTGTTAATGGATTGAAAGACTGAATATTGTTAAGAGGTGACTACTACCCAAAACAATCCCAAACACTTTTTTCAACAATAGAAATAAACATCCTAAAATTTATATGGACTATAAAGGGATCCCCAAGTAGCCAAAACAATCGCAAAAAAGAACAGCTAAAGGCCTCATCCTTCCTGATTTAAAAACTTGCTGTAAGTTATAGTGATCAAAATAAGATAGTACTAGCATAAAGATAGATATATAGACCAAAAAAATAGAAAAGAGATTCCAGAAGTAAACCCTCACATATATGGCTAAATGATTTTTGATAAAGATGCTAAAACCATTTCATGAAGATAAAATTGTCTTTTCAGTAAACGGCGCTGGGACAACTAGATAGCCACATGCAAAAGAATAAAGTTGCACTTCTATCAAAATTAACTTAAAGTGGATCAATGATTCAAATGAAAGAGCTAAAACTATAAAACTCTTAGAAAAAAATTAGGATAAATATTTCTGCCCTTTGTCTTGACAGTAGATTCTTAGATATGATACTGGAAGCCTGGAGAACAAAAGAAAAAAAATGGATAAATTGGGCTTCATCAAAATTAAAAACTTTTGTGCATCAAATAACCATCAAAAAAGTAAAAGGACAACCTACATAATGGGAGAAAATATTCACAAATCCTATCTCTGTTAAGGTCTGGTAGCCAGAATATATAAGGAAATTTTGTAATCTAAAAACAAAACGACAAACAATGCAATTAAAAAATGGGCATAGGACTTCAACAGACAGTTTTCCGAAGAAAAATGAGTGGTAAACAAGCACAGGAAAAATTGTTAAATGTCATTAATCATTAGAGAAATGCAAATGAAAACCATAATGAGTTACTACTTCTTACCCATTAGAATGACTATAATTAAACAAACACAAAAAGAAGTGTTGACAAGAAAGTTGAGACTTTGAAGCCTCTATACACTGCTTTTGGGAACATAAAATGGTGCAGCTACTGTGGAAGAGTTTGGTAGGTCCTCAAACAGAATTGCCATATTAGTCAGCAATTCCACTCCTAGGTATATACCCCATAGAATTGAAAATAGGTACTCAAATACATGTACACACATGTTCATAATAGCAGTATTTTCCATAGTCAAAAAGCGGAAAAACTGAAATGTCTGTCAATGGATGAATGGATAAACAAAATATGTAAACACACACACTGAAAAATATAATAGAGTCAAAAAGGAATTAAACACATGGTCTGAATAAGTGATAAGTTTCCCTTTTCTACCCTGAAAGACATCAGAAATTTCTTCTCTAGAGAGGACAAAATAGAGGATCTTTAGCTGGGGAACATCAGGCACAGTTCAAGACATGGGTACTTAACGAAAAACCAAAAACAAAAAACCAGGGGGATTAAATAACCCTATGCATACTGAATGCTACTCTTCAGAAATCCTGTCCTCCCTCGTGAAAGGGTCCTAGAACATGGGTAGCCAGACTTAAATGCAGGTGCTGATAGTTGGAGATGTGAGTAAAAGGTAATGCAGAGTGGATATGGGCAGGACCCCAATAGCATTTGCCACAGAAGAACAAACTCCCAAACAAAGGAATGATCAATACAAAAGTTAAGAAATGTGGGTACTTCTGTTGGAGGTGGCTGGAAGGAAGATGCTTAGGATAGTGTCCATGGTGCTTGTAGGCAACTGAAGATGTTGTTTCTTATCCTCGTTGGTGAGTACATGGTATTAATTCTTTCTTTACCTTACACGTATATGAAATATACTCTCTTCTGCGAAGGTCTGTGTTTCACAATAAAGATTTTACTAAAACAATGGTTTAATTTATACTAAAGAATTTGATACAGACCAAGTAAATAATAAGATTTTATGGATCAAAAAATAAAAAGCATGTCTTCCTTGCCTGATTTTGGTTGAAATGGAAAGAGATTCAGGAGTCAGAGAGATAGAAA